GCTTGATCCAGAGCCCATTGAAGTCAATTATGAGGTATTCCATTAACTTCAGTGGGCTTTAGATCAGGTACTAAGGGCTTGGTCTAGAGCAGTGGTCTTCAACCTGTGGTCCATGGACCCCTGGGGGTGTCCAGACTGTCTAACGGGTCCACAAAAGGTTGTCATTACCATAGAACAGTGGTTTCAACCTGAGGTCCATGGACCCCAGACTATGTCTAAGATTTCCAAAGGGGGTCCGCACCTCCATTCAAAATTTTTTAGGGGTGCACAGATGAAAAAATTGAAAACCACTGGTCTAGAGCTCATTGAAGTCAATGGAAAGACTCTGTTCCATTCAGTGGCCTTTTGGACTGGGCCCTAAGTGTTCTTGGTAGAATCGTGTCTGTAAACATTCCACCTTTGAACTAGAATATTACATTGTCTGGCAAACTGCTTCTCAGAAATCAACTGAAGCCACATATACACATGTTAATCCTAGTTGTTTTCCTTCAGGAAGAGCTAAATCTTGCACTGCTTAAGGAATCTGAGAGACTTAAAGCATACTGGCAAAGGAAGAGGGGTGAAATATCCATGCAGAGCTGTAGGCATAAATGTTAACATTGTTTAAACGTGAGCATATAATCACAATCTCCAGCGGTGTGTGGATAACTTATTTTCTATAAATATTGAAGTGCCGATCAAGTGTAGAATATTTTCATCAAAAGAGCTATAAACCAAAAATAGAAAACAAATGAACACAAATCCAAGTTGAATGAAGAAAATTCAAATATAAATGCACATTATGTTCCTTTCGGGTATTTCCCATGATAGGAAAGTTGATCTTTGGTTCACCTTTTTCTTCCTGTGGGTTTATAAGAGTGCCTCTTTATTTCTGCAGGTTTCACAGAGCAGATTCCACATAAATATGTAAATATCAGAGTTTAAGGCTTCTTCTCTTTTGTTTTTTTTTTTGTTTTTTGTTTTTTAAATGAGACAGCTGGAGTAATATGCAGCAGACTCTAGGGAGAAGGAAAATATGTGAAATAAAATAAAGTATAATGGATCTTCCAAAAAACCCCACTTCTGGTTAAAAGATTAGCCACATTTTTACCGATGGATAATATTCAAAACATTGATGGGTGAAAATGTGGGCCAGAGTCTCAGCTGCTATAAATACGCCCAGCTCCATTGGAGTGGATGAAGATGCACCTGTTTATTTCTGCTTAGGATCTGGCCCAGAATGCTGAAGATGTGACGGAAATTGTCAGTCTCCTTGTTGCTAAGTAATGGATCAACAAGGTTTTGTTCAGTGATTTACAGGAGGCCTGAATGGCGCGCGCACACAACTGCCTGCTGTGACATCAAAATTATTAGGATGCCAGGCCCTTGTATGGGAGGCTATGTCTAGCTGGGATGTTAGAACGGTTGGGTCACATAACCCAGACGTTAGTCGCTTCCCCCCTTTGAAAGAAAATATACAATGAACTCTTATGACTTACTGGCCAAAAGCAATGCAGAGGAGCACGTTGCCTGCTCTCTCTTTAAGGGAGTAATGGCTTTTAGAGAAGGCTGCTTCAGCTCTGAGCTTGCTAGGCCTGTGCTAATGTGGAGGGAATAGGGGGACTGTTTCGAACAAAAGGAAAACAAACCTTGAGGTTTTAAGGGGGGGGGGGGGGGGAACACTGTAAACCACTAATGAAATGGTAAACTTGCTACAGAAAGAATGAATGCACAGATGCTAAATGCTGCATTCTGATCAGGTCTGGGTTCATGAGACTTGGATAGAAGAATGTAGGAGAGAACTTAATGCATTTTACCAGGATCCTTTATGTCTAGTCCTTTGTCCTCACTCTACACCTGGTGATAAACCAAGGGAGGCGTGAGACATTATTTAACTCTTCTCCCTGTTTTGTTTTTTGCCTTGTTTTGTTTATCATTTCTAAAGCCTGTATATTCCCCTTTTTGGCAGGGAGAAAGCAAGCAAGCGTTGTACTCTTTTGAAGACAGGTGGGGAGAAGTCCCCACAGTGAGTGCTATGTAGTGCTGCTTGCCTTTTGTTTGTCTTTACTAATTGGTTAGAATGGATGGTATTAAGTTCCATCGAGTATGGGTGTTAGAGAATTCCTACATATCCTGCCTCAGGGAATTATACTTTGGAAAATTAAGTCTCCATCAAAGCAGGAGGTGGTTTGTACAGTTTGTAGTCTCTCTTCTTCTTTCTCTCTTTTCTTTTCTTTTTTTGAAAAGCTTAAGAAAAGAGCCTTTTGTTTTCTTTTCAGGAAAGTTACACTGAAATTCATCTGTGCTGTATTCATCTGCCTTCATTCGTGCCATTCATGGGCAGCTGTCGGTTATATAGGACAAAGCTGGTGAATTCCAAACCTCCACATTCAAAACAGTGTATTGGGAAAGGTTCAAGACCTTTTTTTTTTATGTTGGGAGGAAGGAATACTGGTTTTCAGTTTGTGTTCTGAGATTTTTCCCTCCTCTTCTCCTTCCCCCCATGCCCCATCACTCTCATTTCTCTGTCATGATATTTTAATGGCATTTAAAATTCTCTTGGACTTCTTAAGAGTTGTCTGTATGACGTCGATGTTTTTGTCACTGTAGCCAAACTTTAAAAATATCTTTCAAGGAAACCTGATTGGAAATCTCTTTTGTGGGATTTAAGATGAAATATCCTTTTTAATATTGTCTCACTTTTAAACATCAGCCACTGGAGAATATATCTGATTTTTATATTTTGAAATTAAAATCATTTCTAATGTTAGGATGTGAATAGTTAGATTATAGTGAATGCTCCATACTGGAACACTTTGTTTTAGCTAGCTTTGCTAAGGGGGTTTCTCCAATAATTCCATGAATTTTAGGGGAAATAACTGTAAATGCTTTTAAAAAAAAAAATAGGTTACTCGTAAACATCAGGGGCTTGATCCTCAGCTGGTGTAAATTAGCATAAATCAATGGAAATGCACCAGTTCACACCAGCTGAAAATCTGTTTTAGATTATGCGTCAAATATAGAAGAATGCTCACAGTCTATTAACCTGCCTCTATTTCACAGTTTACAGATTTCTTGAAACTAGGCTCCTTTTTATACTGCCTCCATTTTGAAGCCTCTCACTTGATAATTAAAAATAATGATTTCGGTCAACTGCCTTTAATTGTAAAATATAAACTAGATTTGAGATTACAGAGATGAACAAGTACCATTCTTCCCTCCACACCACTTCTGAAAGAAGTGTCTAAATTTTCATGACTTAGGGCTTGATCTAACGCCAATCAAAGTAAACAGGACTTGGATCAGGTCCTTAAAACCTCACATTCTCTGACCAACTGGTATAACTTCCCCTTCACTTTCTCCCCAGATTCTTCGTACTCCGAACCTCCTGATGTTCAGCAACAGCTGAACCATTACCAGTCAGCAGCTCTGGCCAGGAACAACAACAACATTAGCCCCATCCCACTGTCTGGGGCTGCTGCAGGAGCTGAACAGAAAACTGAAGCCATCCTTAACTGTGAATTTTGTGAATTCTCCTCGGGTTACATTCAGAGCATTCGGCGTCACTACCGTGACAAACATGGAGGGAAGAAACTCTTCAAGTGCAAAGATTGTTCCTTTTATACAGGCTTTAAGTAAGTATTGTACAAAACAGATAAACTGAAATCACTTCTAACACTTTAAAAGACAAGCACTCTGGTTCCTGAGATGGCTGACTGGAGCTGAAGAGAAACATAACAATGGATAATTAGGGAGAAATACATAACAACTGCCTTTCCAGATCACACCAGGGTTAATCTAATCCACTTTCCTGTCTCTGTATCAGGGGGTAGCCGTGTTAGTCTGAATCTACAAAAACAACAAGGAGTCTGGTGGCACCTTAAAGACTAACAGATTTATTTGGGCATAAGCTTTCGTGCATCTGAAGAAGTGAGGTTTTTACCCACGAAAGCTTATGCCCAAATAAATCTGTTAGTCTGTAAGGTGCCACCAGACTCCTTGTTGTTTCCTGTCTCTGACAGCATTCACTACTTCCTGCTGAAGAGGAAAGGTGCAAGAAATCCCTGCAGTAGGTTGTTATAGAATAGTGTGTCCACAGAGAATGATTCTTCCCGATCATCTGTGGTTAGAAGTTGGTTTATGCCTTGAAGCATGAGGGTTTATGTCCCGTCAGAAAACTCCTGTGTGTGTTTTTGAGGGCGTTAGAAGCCAGCATGAGACGTGAGGAAGGCAGATGTTCTAGTGAAGTTCCCACTGATTGTCTAAAGAAGTCTTTATCATATAACTTTATAATCTCCTCCCTTTTTCTCCATCTAGTTCAGACGGCAGAAGTGAAACACATACCCAAAAGTGTGTGACGGTATATTTGAATATTTCATCAAATCGGTTAAACACCCCCAAAATAAAAACTCAGTTATTTCTATGTATTTCTAGTTCCATGGTTTTAGACTGTTGTTCATCACTTATTATTATTACTCCTTTCTCCAACCAATAACACTGCACAAAACAATACTGTCTTAAATCAACATATAATTAAATATGTTGACACTTGTGACATGGAGGTTTGCGTTCCTTAATGCAGTGTTTCTCAAGCATTTGGGGATTAGGTCTTTTCCCTCAGGAATGTAGAAAAGTCCCATCCTCTATTCATTATGGAGAGTGAAACACAGAAGAACACCCGTTGAAGTCAATGAAAAGACTCCTATTGACTTCAATGGCCACTGGATCAGGCACAAAGCCAGCAGAGTTTGTCATTTTCTTGCTATAATAGACTCATAGAATATCAGGGTTGGAAGGGACCTCAGGAGGTCATCTAGTCCAACCCCCTGCTCAAAGCAGGACCAATCCCCAACTAAATCATCCCAGCCAGGGCTTTGTCAAGCCTGACCTTAAAAACCTCTAAGGAAGGAGATTCCACCACCTCCCTAGGTAACCCTTTCCAGTGCTTCACCACCCTCCTAGTGAAAAAATTTTTCTTAATATCCAACGTAAGCCTCCCCCACTGCAACTTGAGACCATTTCTCCTTGTTCTGTCATCTGGTACCACTGAGAACAGTCTAGATCCAGCCTCTTTGGAACCCCCTTTCAGGTAGTTGAAAGCAGCTATCAAATCCCTCCTCACTCTTCTCTTCTGCAGACTAAATAATCCCAGTTCCCTCAGCCTCTCCTCATAAGTCATGTGCTCCAGCCCCCTCATCATTTTTGTTGCCCTCCGCTGGACTCTTTCCAATTTTTCCACATCCTTCTTGTAGTGTGGAGTCCAAAACTGGACACAGTACTCCAGATGAGGCCTCACCAAAGTTGAATAGAGGGGAACGATCACGTCCCTTGATCTGCTGGCAGTGCCCCTACTTATACAGCCCAAAATGCCGTTAGCCTTCTTGGCAACAAGGGCACACTGTTGACTCATATCCAGCTTCTCGTCCACGGTAACCCCTAGGTCCTTTTCTGCAGAACTGCTGCCTAGCCACTCAGTCCCTAGTCTGTAGCAGTGCATGGGATTCTTCCGTCCTAAGTGCAGAACCCTGCACTTGTCCTTGTTGAACCTCATCATGTTCCTTTTGGCCCAATCCTCTAATTTGTCTAGGTCCCCCTGTATCCTGTCCCTATCCTCCAGCGTATCTACCATTCCTCCCAGTTTAGTGTCATCTGCAAACTTGCTGAGGGTGCAGTCCATGCCAATCTCCAGATCATTAATGAAGATATTGAACAAAACCGGTCCCAGGACGGACCCTTGAGGTATTCTGCTTGATACCGGCTGCCAACTAGACATGGAGCCATTGATCACTACCCATTGAGCTCGACGATCTAGCCAGCTTTCTATCCACCTTATAGTCCAAAGGTCCTTATATCAAGCCAACAGGGACTGTAAATTCCTTAGTGAAGAGTTAAGCAGCTTGCTGCATTTACAGGCTCCATCACTCCTTAATCCAAAATTATTGAACCACTCAAGTTTACCAACGCCTGCTCCACAGCTGGCCTTGTAGCCACATAGGTACATAGTTAACTTCTTAGGTATGAGTGTGCAGTGTATCTGTCTTCTACATGTGCAGCTAGTAGTATAACTTGCTGCAAAACATTTACTGCTAACGCAAGTCTATTTAGATACCAAATCTGGAGCATGGTGTTTCAGCTGTTTTTGAGTTAGGCCCACAAAAGAAAGGTGGCGAGAATGTTTCTGCTGCCAGAGTGACATTTATCTTCAGCCTTGTGACTCCAGAACAGTTGAAGGAATCTTGCTCAAATTTTCCAAACATGTTTCGCCTTTGACAGAGACCAGGCATGGAAGTTTTCAGCCCAAAGACCTCTTTTGAGCATGTGGAATGGAAATTCTCTTGCTCCATTAACTCTAGCCCCGTGATCAGTGCAACCACTGTAATAGAATATTTTGTCAGAGTACGTGATGGCTATGTAAGAGTAAATCCTGCAAATACATACACACGTGTTACTTGTATGAGGAGTCCCACTGAAGTATCATGTGGCTTTACACAGACAGGAGTAAGTGGCATCTGTAGCACTTTAAATAGCATTTCAGTGATAGAGCTGTGGCACTTGAGGTGTGTAGACCTATGAAATACTGATTTTTATCTCTTCTGCTTCTCCTTACTTTATAGATCTGCTTTTACTATGCATGTGGAAGCTGGGCATTCAGCAGTTCCCGAGGAAGGACCCAAAGACCTTCGCTGTCCTCTCTGCCTGTACCACACCAAATACAAACGTAACATGATTGACCATATAGTCCTGCACAGAGGTAAAGACATCCCTTGTAGTATTTGTGTCTGACAAAGAAAACCTTGAACAATACCTGTTTATTTCAGGCCCATGAAATGAAGGTTTCATCTGAATGTGAACATTAAAGTGTTGAGTAGCCCAGAAGCCTTTGCACATATTTTTAGTGATGTATTTTGTTTCTTTTCTATGAAGTACAAAGAATTAGACCAAAGTGGATAGAGGACAGATTTGAAATTTCTGTTTAGAATTTCCACCAGAAATGTTTACAATCATTTGACATCTGGTTAGCATGTGTTATGCTTCTCCTATTACTCTGTGGGGCAAGATAGCACCCTGCTCACCCAGAAACGTGTTTACCATATGAATGTATTTCTAATGAGTCCATTATCTAAAAATCTCTGTTCCATATACATTGTTAAAGGATGGGTCTATTCCATCTGCACCGTCCTCTACCCTGGACACCCCAGAAGATCCCATTAGGACTTAAAATATCTTTCTTCACCACACCTGCATCAACTATACTTTGGAGCAAAAATGGCCAAAACTTTTTAAAACAATTAAGAGCTGACTTTGAGATTATCCTACTCTATTAACCACAGGCTTGAAAGTCCAGAAGAGACAGCTGTTTGGACACTCTGGGCTGGGATTCCTGCCGAAAGTTATCACACTTGATGCTTATAGATGGTCTGTTGGCTGCCTAAATCCAAACCCATGTGTGGGATGGCACCCTGCCTACTCCCTGCCTACTTGCAGGTTAAGCAGAATCTCGCAGTACGATATTGATGCTGAGCAAATGTGGGTTTCAAATGCCATCTTTTCCTGGAGGAGATTCTTCTTGTGTGGCAGCCCTGTCACACAATGTACTTCACTATATTCTGGGCTGCTTCAGGTTTAGAAAGGCTCCAAACAATGAAGTAGATCGAGTTGATAAGTACTTCCGGCTGTTGGAAAGACTGTATTGAAGGGGCATCTGGGAAGATCATACAGACCTTCCTAGGACTCAAAAGGCATGTGATAGAGCAGACCTGGGCAAAGTGGCCCGCAGGACCGTCCTGTCCAGCCCCTGAGCTCCCGGCCAGAGAGCCTAGTCCCCGGCCCCTCCCCTGTAGCCACGTCGCTGCGCGGGCCGCGCTCTGGCCCGCCGCTCCCGCTGGGCAGTGTGGGGAGTGCAGCTGGCTCTGGCCGGGTTTCGTGGCTGCGAGCTCCTGCTGCTGGTAAGGGGGCGGGGAGCAGGGGGGTTGTGTCAGGGAGCGGGGGTCCTGGGGGGCAGTCAGGGAGGAGGGGGCGGTTGGATGGGGCAGAGGTTCTGGGGGGGATGGTCAGGGGATGGGGAACAGGGAGGGTTGGGAGTGGGAGTCCTGGGGGGGCTTGTCGGGGGACGGGGGTGTGGATGAGGTTGGGAGGGCAGTCAGGGGGAGCCAGGAGGGGTTGAATAAGGGGGTGGGATCCTGGGGGGCAGTTAGGGGTAGGGAGTCACGGGAGGGGATGGTCACGGGACGAGGAGCACAGGGTGGGGGTGTGGATAGAGGTTGGAGCAGTCAGGGGACTGGGAGCGGGGGGGTTGGATAAGGGGGTGGGATCCTGGGGGGCTGTCGGGGCGGGGGTGTGGATAGGGGTCGGGACAGGGAGCAGTTAGGGGGAGGGGGTTGTCAGGGGATGAGGAGCAGAGGGTGGTTGGATAGGGGGTGGGAGTTCCGGGGGGGCTGTCAGGGGGTGGGGGTGTGGATAGGGGTCGGGACAGGGAGCAGGGGGGTTGGATAGGGGGTGGGGTCCTGGGAGGGGCGGTCTGGGGACAAGGAGCGGGGGGGTTGGATGGGTTGGGGATTCTGAGGGGGAAAGTCAGGGAGTGGGAAGTGGGAGGGGGCGGATAGGGGGCGGGGGCCAGGCTGTTTGGGGAGGCACAGCCTTCCCTACCCGGCCCTCTATACAGTTGTGCAACCCCAATGTGGCCCTCGGACCAAAAAGTTTGCCCACCTCTGTGATAGAGCCAGCTGACGGAGTGTAAAAGCTTGGCAGGCAATGGCACTCGGTGCTGAGCTCATTCTCCAAAGGTGTTATCGCACTAGACAGCCCAAGTCTGTTGATCTGCAGGATCCGTCTTCTGTGGCTTTTGAAAAGGAGGTGGGTTAGGCTGTATTTGGGCTGTTAGAGGCATCACTGAGGAATGTGTTTATCGGCACTTCTGAGGTATTGATTGGTTCAGAAGAGTTCACTAGGTATAGTTTGTGCGAGTTGTTTTATAGTTTGTGTGAGTTGTTGTTGTCGTCATTACTTGTGTTACCGCACATAGGCGCCCTAGTGAGGTTGTTCTCTGTCCTGTGTTTGTATCTGGACTGTGCGATTAGGCACAGCTTTTAAAGTGTGAATAAACAAGCGTAGAGAAGAGAATGGGTTGCAGCGCGCTAGACCTGGTTGGAAAACTTCCACTGATGCAAGATTTTTGAGGAAAACTGCAAATGTTCAATAATCTTTGGTAGCACTTTACATGTTCAAAGCACTGTGCAGACATTAACGAGTTGATCCTCACAACACCCCAAGGGAGCAGGCAGATAACTATTCTGTGAAACTGTGGGTCAGTTCCTTGGCACCACTGCAGCGACTTTGCAACTCTCCAGCCACGCAGAGCAGCCTTGAACCCCTGTCTTGGTGAGTCTTCAGGTAGAGCAGAGCTGCCTGAGTGGTAGCTGTGAAGCATCTCTCTGCCCAGCTGCCAGAACAGTCCCCTAAGAGTTATTGGTGGCTGAAAATAATAGAGACCAGACCATTTGCTAGATGGGACCGTGTGTGCGCGTTAGCACATTTACGCTCCTTTTTGAGCTGCACTTCTGTTTCCATTTTCCAACAAGCTCGATAAGATAGAGCATCTTTCATCTCAGTTCTAATCTGGCCCTGTGAAAAGAGACATATGTTTTGTCTTTTAATTTTATCCAATTTATCCAGTGCTCCTGTCGTAGATCTCTAGACATACAAAATAAAAACTTGAAAACAAATACATGAACTTGATAGTCAACACTACTGAAAGACCCCTCCAAAAAAGGGAAAAAAGCATCCAAACTTAATCAAGTTCTTCTACCCTCTCCATGCCCCATCCTTCATTGTAAATAGGCTTTGTGAATGTTGTTGCAGTGAATCCTACAGAAAGGCCCTTTTACACCATTCAGGCAGTGTAAAGAGTCCTTAGTGTAAATGAGAATTGGTCCTGGGAAGAGTCAGATGATGTCCGCTTTCAAGGGCCTACAAAGAGCGGTTCTTTCATACACATAGCACCCAGACTCTAAAGGACAGCCAGGTCAATACCTGAATCATCCATCCAAGTCCTTCTTCCTGATAAACATGTGACCAGATCATGTTTGACACTAATAATGGTAGCCTCAGTAGAGCGGTCGAGGGGTTAATGTACCTGGGCACTGAAATACACTTGCATCTTGAGAGCTAAGCCTTTCTGGACAGGAATGAGGCATGGGGTGGCTGCCCGGCTGCAGTCTGTTCTGAAGCCATTCCAGATACGGAAAGAGGGCCTTGGTGTCAGGCTGTCTGTCCAAGCACTAATTTTGCAGAGGGTTGAGGGTGAGTAATGGATGCTGTGCATAAAAACAGTGGAGCTATGCTAATTTACACCAGCTGAGGATCTGGTCTTTTATGTTGATTGGTGCCCTTCCTCCCTCCCCAACAGATAACGAGTTACAGGTGTACAACCTTGTACTGGCTAGTTCTCACTGTGACGTTCGGGTCTTTGCCATGTGGCACTGAAGGATGAAAACACACTGTAAATATTGTTTCTGTTGAGATGATGTCCAGAGGCCCCAGTCAGAATGAAAGGTCCCTGATTTCACAGGATGTGGCTGACATTTGACAGCACATCACCCTCTCTTTAGCCACAGTTAATGGGAGGTGATAGAAGTTGACCATTCACTGAGCTCAAGCCATTATCAGCTAGAGCATGGAATGGCTTGTTAGAGAACTTTAAGCAAGGAGTATGTTTCCCATTAAAAGTTATGGGCGCAGGATGTCATTAGTCTGCCTCTGAGAGCCTTCTGCCATGTGTCACCTACTCAGCTCAATCAGTTACACATCATCAGTGTGGTTTAACTTCCCTTTTATGGGCACAGAGGAGCGGTGATTCTGTGCCCTTTCCTAGTCTGAAGGGGGAGGGAATTTATAGGACCAGAGCCTGCGTTGCAGGCATACAGTGGTGAGGAGACTTTTGAGTCACTCTTGGGCTTCATGGCACTCCGATTTGGAGAGCCCTTGGAAGTTCTGTAACTGGAACCGGGGAACTCCAGATCTGTGCTCAGCTCAGCCATTAGCCTTTAATTTAGCCCAGACGATGCCGTTACATTTTACTGGCCATTCTCTGATGTGCTTTCCTATCCAGCATATGATGAAAGGCTCTGATATTTTTCCAGTGATGAAAGCAGCTTTCAAGCCAGATGCCTTGGTTCCACAAGTCCAAATTCACAGAACTCGGAGGGAGCCCTCTAAAATAGTTTTCCTATGCCCCCATATGTCACAACTTTAAATCCTGTTATCTTGTAGCCTCCCCAACACCACTACCACCACTGGGGTTTTTTTCTTCCCCTGAAGGGCCATGAGTTGACATTTTTACAGATGGAACAACTGTCACTGGTGCAGGAGCAAATCTTACTTGTTCTGAGCCTTTAGCAAGAATAGCTTTGGGGGAAATTCCACTTTTTGGAGTGGTGTGAGGAGAAGGAAATATTTTGAAATCAGGTTGGTTTTTTTTTTTTTTTTTTTTTGTTTAATAAACAGATGCTTGAAGCAGCTGAGGGGTTTGGAATATTTAAATATTTGAAAAATAGCTTACTTGGCAGAGAGGGCACATGAAATGGTCAGAGATGCATGATAAATGCATTTATTATATGCATATCATTCCTGTATGTGTGGGGGTGGGGGGGGGTGTAGGAATTCTATCAGTACAATAAATTACTAGAAACCAGGATTACTTTAATGTCTCCAAATGGGAGGCAAGAGACCCCACGTTTCCACTTTACCAAAGAAACTGATACATTGGTCCGGATCCACCTTTTGTGTGGCAGAGCTCCGTTGAAATTCAGGGAGCTGCACCCGTTTACATCAGCTGAGAATCGGGCCTTCTTCTTTAAAATAAGTTGTTAGTGATTCGCTATGTTAGAAACATTGAACTGCCTCTTAACCTGCAGTTCTTAAGGAATAACTGTCTTAAATTCCTGTGCCCTAGTTCAAAAGGGCAGTTAAGTAATGAAGACCTTTTGGTGACCCTATATTGAATGGGGGATTTCCCCGGTGTGCACACAATACTCAGTGGCCCATAGTGGATGAAGGAACCAAATTGCAGGATTCTAGCTCAGTGGAAATGTGGAAAACTTCTTGTCGGTCACGCTGTTACATGAGTGTGATTGTGTGTTACATACAATATAGACACCTGTCTCTCTGTGTGTGTGTGTAATATTAAAATTCAATAGAATAATTTTTCACTATATATTTAAACTAAAGCCTGAAATGTATATTAACACATTGGGCAGGTTGGCATGAAAAACTGAATTGGTAGAATTGAGCCCATGGGTGGGAAATGAAATGGGTGTTCATCTCTAGTCTTACAGTCACAGTATTTAAAAGCTAATCTGTACAGCATTTAGCACAGTGAAGTCTTGGTCTGTGACTAGAGTACTACAGTAATATTTAAAGGCTCTTATAGAATCATAGAATCATAGAATATCAGGGTTGGAAGGGACCTCAGGAGCTCATCTAGTCCAACCCCCTGCTCAAAGCAGGACCAATCCCCAACTAAATCATCCCAGCCAGGGCTTTGTCAAGCCTGACCTTAAAAACCTCTAAGGAAGGAGATTCCACCACCTCCCTAGGTAACCCATTCCAGTGCTTCACCACCCTCCTAGTGAAATAGTGTTTCCTAATATCCAACCTAAACCTCCCCTTGCTATGCTCAGCTCAGCCATCAACAGAAAGACCCCATCCTGTCAACTGTGTCCTACCCACCAACTCCCAGACTCTGCCGCCCTGAGTCCAGGCTGCACCGCTTCCTCTCTTCCTTCCCTTTCTCCTACCTAAGTAGTGATAGTTTTCAGGATGACCTCTGCATTCACCGTCTTGAAGAGGATTGACCCTACCTTTGTGGAGGGAATTAGTTGCATTTCTTTGGTCAGTCCAGTTTAGCTCCCCCCCATCTTATCCCACCCTCAAGAAAATGTTTCAAACTACTTGCTGGTAAATGGATTGTATACATACATAGCAAATCTTGTTTCTTGGGAGGAAAGAGGGGGAAGGCTGTTGATACAGTGCTGACTTTTTTTTAAATGAAAATGCTCTTCTCATCACATTTATCTCAACAGAAGAGCGAGTTGTTCCCATTGAAGTCTGCCGATCCAAACTGTCAAAATACTTGCAGGGAGTAGTTTTCCGCTGTGATAAGTGTACCTTCACCTGCTCCAGTGATGAGAGCTTACAGCAGCACATAGAGAAGCACAATGAACTGAAACCTTACAAATGCCAACTGTGCTACTATGAGACCAAACACACGGAGGAGCTGGACACTCATCTTCGAGATGAGCATAAAGTAAGTTCTTAGCAGGATTTTCTTTGGGACTATGCAAGTGGTAAGTTGACTTGACTTTTAGTAAAGGTAAGTGAGTCAAGATTTGGAAATGACCCCAGGATGGAATAATTTTTTTGTGAAATTCCTATTTTCCAAAATCTTGTGTGTGTGCAGGGGTTTTTCCTGAATTTTGGGTACCCCTCCTGAGCCATTCAGATACCTGAATGTGTATGTGGAGAATTTACCTTTTTTAATAGTTATGAAGCAACAATTAAGGCAGTGTGATCCAGTCCCATAAAAATTGGGAGATTTCAAAAGTTGAAATTGCTCTGGCAATAAATAACATCAAGAATATTGCATGTAGTACATATTTTAATAACGGTGTAATACATTTTGGTTTACACTTAAGGAAAAGATAAATAAAAAATACATCATGTGTACATCATGCTAAGTTAAGGGTGCTTTGGCAATATTAATTTTTAGAATTACCTGACTATAGATGTGACCCAAACCCATTGAAGTCATTAAGTATATGTCCAGTAATATCAGTTGGTTTTGGATTAGACCCTATAATTCTAACTCAAGATGCTCTTGTGAGGGATGATCCTCTCCAGGATTGAGGCTTTGCATTGCTTCAGCTCAGAATTTTAGGAATACATATTTTTTGTCAGAGTTTGTAGGGAGATAATCACTTAGCTGCTTAACTCCTGTTAACGGGAGTTAAGTCCCCATCCTGGAAATTTACTCCCACTACTTTTGCTAAACAAACCAAAAATGTTATTGACAAAATGAGCACCAAAAGTGTCAGCAGAATCTGTTTTGCCCTAAAAGTTATTCCACTGCATTTTAAAAACTAGCTCTGTGAACTGAACTGCAATGCGTTTATTTTCCTTACGTCAGCTTGTTAACAATTGGCATGCTTCTCTCCTCTTCTTTTTACTGCTGCTTTAGAATCTTTCTACTTGTCTGCAATATACAATTTTTAGCTCTCCCATTTCCCCCACTGACCACAGCCCGGGTGCTAGGCCAGGATTCACTATTCCCCATGCCTTTGATTGGGTGCTTCATTATGGGAAGATTTTACCCCTGTCCTGGCTCTTACCAGAGGTGTATTCTTGTCTCTAGTCATAGCCTAAATAACCCAGCAGTTACTTTGTTCATGATCTCTCTCACTTTTTAAAAATTAGTTATTTCAGACTATTTTGTGCACAGTACTTGTATTTAGCAGTGCTCCTTAGTTGTAGGTAAAAAGAACAAGGAGTACTTGTGGCACCTTAGAGACTAACAAATGTATTTGGGCATAAACTTCCGTGGGCTACAGCCCACTTCATCGGATGCATGGAGTGGAAAATACAGTAGGAAGATATATACACAGCGAGCATGAAAAAATGGGTGTTGCCATACCAACTGTAACGAGACTAATCAATTAAGGTGGGCTATTATCAGCAGGAGAAAATAAACTTTTGTTTGTTAGTTGTAGGTGCTACTGTCATGCTATTGTGTTTATTGTCACTTCTCTGTGGGAAAGCACTTCACTTTGTAAAAGTTTCTCAGATGTAAAGTGACTTGCGCTTTAAATTCATTCCAATTCCCCTCCCAGAAAACAGTCGTGTCAAGCTGTTACTTCATCCAAGGTGCTGCAGGAAATGTTGTCAGTACTGGATCAGAGCCTTGGCATAATGCTGGTGCTACTGGAGGTGCTGTCGTTTCACATCAATCTGAATCCAAAGTCATGACCACTAGTGGTCATTAAAAATCCCAGGGCGCTGTTCACATAAAAGGTATTAACCCCAGCGTCCTGGTCACATTTCATCTTGGGTAATTGTATTCTGCCCCTCTGTTGTAAATCTTTGTCCACAGTTTCAGTTGGATACACGAGTTCTTCACTTCCCACCCTAAGCTGTTATGTACTATTGCTGTGAGCTGTTAAATAGCCGGCGCATTTCACGTAAGGGTTAGCTGAATTTGACTGCTGGGTGAAGTGTTCCCTTTATGGTTTGTAAATCAGTTTGTGAAGCACTTAGCAACCCTTTGTAATTAAAATTAATCTGTTATTAATGAGTGAAAATGTACTCACTCGGACAGCAGACATGTATAGTTAAAGGACCCATCTCTCCATGCATTAAACTGAATGAATCATTCACAAAGGATTCTGCTGCACTAGCGTGGGGCTATATTAATATGATACCACATCAGATTAGTAATCCCCTGCAATGATGATGACTATAGAATGCTTGGGGGTTAATAGTGGTACCTGTATTATTATTATTATTATTATTATTTATTAAGTTTAAAACCTGCACATAAGGAAAAAACAAGGAAGATTCCTCAGCTGACAAGAGGGTTGCAAGGTGAAGCATGGAGAAATGCTGTATAAAAAAACATAAGTGAAACAATTAGAGGAGTGTCTAATTGTATTTCAAGGGAATGGGTATTAACTTGACAGAGTGTTGGTAAAAATGGCCTCTGGCAAATTTTACTCATCAGACATTACTCTGCAAATAGAGGTGTGTTTTTTTTTTTAATAGACATGAATATTAATTAATGTTGTTTCTTTTAAGGTGAGTCGTAATTTTGAGCTGGTTGGGCGCGTTAACTTGGATCAGCTGGAACAAATGAAAGGGAAAACTGAGAGCTCCAGCAGTGATGAGGAGGAAAAGGAAGAGGAGATGAGCCCCAAGACTGAAGAGAGAGGTCAGTATTGCTTCCTTTTCTCCCAGGCTGGGCATGGGAATGTCTCTGACAGCCCCATCGAACAAGATGAGCCATTGACTCAACAACAGATTTTTCAGGAACCATGGACAGGATGCATGTCGAGGAAAAGCAGATCACATCTAGGCAACTGCGGTCTTTTGTACATGTCAGTAAATTGTTTTGTAGCATGGTAGTCCAGAGGGCTATCAAATTTGTATGTCGGTAACCCATATGCAACCTTGCTGTTCCATGTTAATCCAGTGTGATTGTGATATCAAAGTTAGTGGAGACATTTATTTTTGGGCCATCATGGTTCTGTTGTCTTGCTCTTCTTTAGCTTTTTGTCCTCCCCCTCCTTTATGTGTGACTCCCCTTTTTAGGTTCAGGCTGGCTGGCAGCTGTGAAGCAAGAATAACAAAGTGCTCCATTTTGGAAGCACATTACCTATTAAGACCCCAGTTCAGCAACATACTTAAGGATGCGCCTAACCTTTAGGATGTGAGTACTCCCATTGGTTGCAATCAGGCAATTCACTTGCTTAAAGCTGGGCACTTGGTTAAGTGTGTGGCTGAATCAGGGCCCGAATCAGCTGTCAATTTCAGATTACAAAGACTGCGCAGTTAGAGCTAGGCAACCTGAAACTGAAATTTTTCACATTTTCTGCCAGTGAAATTGACAAAACCTTTCCCAAAAGGGGTGCCAAGGCTGTACACCCTCAGCTTCTTCTCTCTCTGCCCCAGCTGTGGGGCTGGAGTGGCTGAGTACCCCAACTCTCTGCTTCTCTAGCTCCCAGAGCTAGAGGAGAAGACCAATGTCCCAGCTCTCCGCCTCTTGGGCAAGCAAATTAGAAGGCTCTTATCAGTTCCACAAATGAAATTCGCAAGAGCCTTCTTGGCAGGCAGGCAGAAAATTCCATATCCGTTCTCCCAAAACGGAATTGTTCTCAACCCTTCCTCTGAAAATTCTCACTGTTTTGATGCTTCGTCCTGGTTCGGGAAAACTATTTTTTTTAAAAATGAGAAATTTTTCTTGAAGTGATTTTTCCATTTTCTGGCCAGCTCTTCTGTGCAGTCCTAGTCTGTTTTACTCAGTAGCACACTCTGTTCATAAAGCGCTTATCAGAAGGAGAATGGCATTATTCTTTTCTGCAGCTGCTGATCCTGGTAATTTAACCAACATTAGTAGGGGAGGGAATACGAAAGAGAAATCTTCTATCCATAATACTGGGCTTTTCCCTTTAATATTTCTAAGTCGATTTAGTGCTTATGTAATTTGCCAGACCGATAGCCCCAGGAACTGAAGTGCTCTGTGTATTCTCAGAACCCACCCTATATTGCATATTTCTATCAACCAGACATCATATGGCAGCCACCGCTAGCCAGGGTTCATTTTGAACTCCAAGGTGAATGCCATTAGAGTTCCCTGTGCCGTCCAGTTCCCACATCCCATCATGCTGCTGACTGGCAGGTTGCCAATTTCTCTAGACCTCCAACTAAAGGAACACTGTCAACTTTTTTTTGTGAACTTAAAAAGAATTCAAAATTGCGTTCAAAAAGGATTTCAGAAGGGAAAATACCCACCTCCTTGAAGTTTTTTTAAACGTATTGCTGTTGTCTCACAGGCAGCGTATAGAACAGAATGTGGGTTTAGGTTATGTCTTTCATTCCACTGAAATCTCAACATGTTAGCTATTTTAGTGTCATGGCACAATCAGTAGTTAGGACATTGCTTCTTAACAGTTTCTTGTGCTCAGCGAGAACTCATCCAAAGCTTTTTTTTTTTTAATGAGGGCAGAGCCATCCCTAGGGGACACTGAATCGGGGTGACTGCTCCGGGCCCCATGCTTTGGGGGGGCCCCACGGGCCAGCGCAATTAGCTGGCCCCACATGGTCGGTGGGTGAACCGCTGGCCGGGGGAGGCTACCCCCAGCCCCACCCCTTCCACCCGATGGAGAGCGTGTGGTGCTGCTGCAGCCTCCCCAGCCCTGGGAGGCCAGCGGTGATGCCGAAGTGGGGCCCTGGGGGGGGGGAGGGGGGCGCGGAGTGTGGGCGGGGCCAGGCCGGCTGTTTGTGGAGGCACGGCCTCCCCTACCTACTCCCAGCGCGGTCGGTCCCAGAAGTGACATCACTTCAGGCCTGGACCCCGCACCCCCCTAGGGATGGCCCTGAATGAGGGGGAGGAGTGTTGGATAAGAAACTACATAGCTCTTATCGAAAAAATGTTCTGTGAGATCTTTGTTGGTGGCCCTAGAGAAATTAAAAAATCAGCAGAAGGGATGTCTTTTTCACAAATACTCAGAAATATGGCATCTGTAAAGGTAAAAGTGTAAGTTAGTGTCAATATAATTAGTTCTGTCAGTTCAACAGTAGGTTTCAGCTGCAGGGCTGAAAGTATCAGCCTATACTGCTTTAGCTAGAGGACCATATCCCCTCACTTGCAGCTGCAGCAGACCTATTAACTTCTTACGTAGACCAACACAGTAAAAAATGTATTTTAACTTGTTTTCAGGATACTTAAATCTCTGGATGCTTTTTGTTATGCAAATACAAGATTAGACCTTTCTGGATTGGGGTTTTAATCATCAGGGACAGTAGAAATATCTACATTTCCCAAAGACAGTGGTTATAACGTGGAGAGTGTTTCACCATTTTATATGTATTTTTTTCACTTGCAGCTGGGTCTCTGCATCTGTGAGTGGCTAAAAATAATCCATGTTTGATCAAACAATGGGTCCATAAATCATACTTTTTTGAGGATTTTATTTACCTGCTATTCTCCGCTGATTCCTCTTTAGGAAATTACCTCTCTTCTCTCCCTTTTAGCTAGTATCAGCTGCAGTAGTATCCATTTAATACCTGACATGGTACATACATCGTCTGTTAGAGGCACTGTGGGTAAAATTTTCAAAAGTGCCTTTGTCCCATTTTCAAAATAACATTAGGCACTTTAAAAGTCCAAGTTCCATTGACTTTCAATGAGACTTAGTCTCCTATGTCACTAGGGCATTTTTGAAAATTTTACTCTACATCTTGTGCCAGGGACTGGACTTTACATAAGAGGCCTCTTTCAACTGTAAGTACCATGGATGAAATTTTGCTCCCTGTTATGTTCAAAACACACACAGAGAGAAGTTAGAAAAAACCATAAGTGCTCTTGCTGGAAGTTTGTAGTATAACACTATTTTTATTTCTTAGAATTCAGAACAGTTACACACAAGAACCCAAAAACAGAGAGAGAGAAATCAGGCTGCTCCCTAAAAAAAGAGGCACAACTCTCCCCATCTTACGATAGCCTCGCTGTCTGTAGACTAACTGCTGTTAGGCCCAAATCTCATGCTTCCCTATAAAGCCCCTGTAGCCTGCAAGCAGGACCAGGAAAATCCCCTAAAATTTGAAGTGACCGCCTGTAATTTTACCCCAGTTTTCAATACACCACAGCCCCACTCAGGTCAATGACTCGCCATGAGCTAGGTTGTGACTTGGCCTACAAGTCAGCACAGGGGAGTAAGAATCCCTGTCACATCCTTATGTGGGCGACTGGAACCACAGGATCCACGCATGCAGGAGTAAGCAAAGCTGTGCAACCACATATTGCTCCCTGGAGAAGATGGGTGAAGGGTGGCAAAGAATGGATGGAGCCCGGGTACAACATCTCAGCACAGATAAGCTGTTGTGTGCGGGGCTAGGGGAAAGGAATAACTTGGTGTAGGACAGCAGAAAATTAACCCCTCCCCCAGGAGCAACAGGGCTGATGTTCCTTTCCTGGTATGCTTCTGGGATAGAGCAGCGACGTGCCACCCCTTGCTAGAAGCAGTGTCATAGACGCACAGTTTGCCCCTGTGAACGTCTATCCTTTAATCTTAGAACTCAGATCATGAAATGATTCATGCAGTAGCAAACAAGCAATGTATGCCCACAAAATAACACGCCGTCAAAGGCAGTCAGGTGTCTTGTGTGTGCAAAATATCCTTTTTCCCTTGGAACCGTGGCATATACCCAGCTTGGTAGATCTGAGATGACCTTACTGCTTTGATTTGTAATTCAGGGAGCCATCCACATTCACAGACCTTAAAACCAAAGTGACAAGGAAGTCATGGGGAGTGGGAGAGGAGAACATGATCTGTTCCGAAAGGGTGGAGGAGTTCCTAAGCTAACGCTCATTAATGTTAATGGGAATTACAAGTCCAAATCCCCCTCATGCAGTTGAACAAAATGCATTTGTCTGCACCTCCTCTGCACAGACCCAGAATAAATTTCCCATTGGCTACTGTACTCTAGGTACATTCTTGCACAGAAGCGCAGCTATTGCCTCCAAAACTTCTTACCCTCAGTAGGTGGTAGACTAATCCTGGTGCAGAGATGAGGTTTTATAGTGGTGCTTATAAATTTGCACCACACACACAAGTATGTATGACCAAGCTTAGGGGCCAGAGCCTCAACTGGTGTAAACTGGCCTGGTGCCATTGACTCCATGCTGATTTACATCAGCTGAGGATCTGGCCCCATGGAGCTTAGTCATATAATGAAGTGCTGCATCCTGTGAAATCTGAAGCCAGTTCTCCTTCCAGGGGAAAAGGATAAAAGCTGTGTAAAGGAACATTCCCTCTACAATTTAAACAACTGATGAAGGTTACAAACTCGTCGCAACACACATCCGTACCAAACGCACACAGAGAATGGGAGTGAGTGTGTGGGTAATTTTGAGTCATAGCTTGAATTTGAATGGACTAAATTTTAAAGTGAAGAAACCAGACAAGCAGAGATCAAAATGGAACGAAGCAAAATCCCTTTTCTTTCATTATGTAGTTGAGGAGGAGTCAGAAAGGCATTCTGTTGATTTCTTGCTCAAGATAATCCCTGCTAAGGAATTAATGCTCTGAACAGATGGTGCTGTCTCATTTCCAGTGAAAAGAATCAACCGAGATAGTCCATGCAATTATTTTTAATGACTTGTGTGGCGATCTTCTTAATATGTGAGGGAAGGTTTCATATTTTGTTAAAGCTGGCGCCATTCATGAAGGGCTGAGTGTTCGCAGCCTCCCCTGACTTCAGCTGAAGTTGTAGGTGCTCTGCACTTCTGCAGATCAGGGCAGTGGCATTTTGTGGCAAAAGATTAGGGTGGGAGGAAACACCTATCCAGTTAACAGGGTTCAGTGGTAGCCGTGTTAGTCTGTATCAGCAAAAACAACACGGAGTTCTTGTGGCACCTTAGAGAATAACACATTTATTTGGGCATAAGCTCTCGTGGGCTAGAATGGTATCCGGTACTGCTTTACACGTGAGATATTATGTACATGGGCATGAGGGACTCGTATATGGGGATCAGATGCCTACTATAATGAGACTGCATAGCCCAAAATTTGCTTTGTGACTGAAAAATGTATTTAGACTTGTATTTATTTGCTTTCTTACAAGCTGTTTCTACATTAAGCTTCCCTCATAAAATTGATTTTGAACTCTGAAGGAGGTATGCATGTTCTCTAGCCACTGAAATGTGGAGAAAGGGGATGTACCTGTGGGTGGCAAACTTCATCACACGGTTTGAAGATGGGGAGCAGGAATCTTGAGCTGCAAAGTGTGTGGTGAGAGTTTGAGCCAGTTTTTTTGAAAGGATTCCCCTCCACTCACACACACCCTTTCAGAAGGATAGCGGAGGAGGCCACACTAGCTTATCGTAATTGTCCCTTCTGGCCATAACATTGATGAATCTGTGAATGACATTTCTTTTACTCTTTCCCAGATTCCATGATGTTCTCTGACAGTGGCGCTCCTGAGAAGCGTTTTCCATGTGAGTTTTGTGGGAGGTCATTTACAGAGGGCTCTGAGTGGGAACGGCACGTACTGAGACATGGCATGTAAGTTTGTTTACAGACTACTTTTCATCACAGCTGAAGGCAACAGTAGATTTTTGTTCCTCCCCACCCCAAGCCTAGTAAAGGCAAACACAGGGAGGTGAACAAATAATTCTAGCGAGTCACCATAGGAGTCATTGTGTGAAATTCTCTGGTCTGTGATATAAAGGAGGTCAAACTAGACGATCATAATGGTCCCTTCTGGGCTTAACGTTTATGTATCTAGTGAACCCATAATTCCAAGGTGGCTATGGTACTCAAAATGGGTCAGAACCAAAACCTCAGTCCAACTCTCTCTATTGCCCCATTATTGGGGGGTTGGGGTGGCTGGATTCAAACTCCAGATGTGAGTGTGTTCCCTTGCGACTCCAGGCCTGGATCAGATTCCAGGCTGGAAGGAACCTCTCTTCGCGATGTGGCCCAAGATGGCAGAAGTCTCACAAGCACAGCGCATCTTCAGAAACTTCCACCAATTTGGTTCAGAATTTTGTGTGAACAGCTCCAGGAATACAGTGCCATCTAATCCAAACTTGAATCATGGGACCAGATTGGCCTTAAACCTGACCTCAGAATCCAATCCTGATCTGAACACCACTTCATTGACCTAATGAAGCTGGATACTACTGTTGCCATTTTCAAGCTCATAGGCCAGCATTGAAGATGCCTACAAATCATTGTGCACTTTCCGCATGGGCTCCACTCTTTTGGTTTCCCTTTCTATTCTTTGTCTTAGAACACTGATACTAAACTTACGGTAAATTATGTGCACAAAAGTTTTGAAATCTTCAGGCAGAGGACATCTTTCTAAAAGTCCTACTCTGAGGTTAATAGCAAATGATTTTAAATTGTGCACTCATTAATAGCAGTCCACACTGTTGCACGTGGATGGTGCAGTCAGCTGTGGGGTTTGGTACACTCGTTTGCCTTTGAGAATATTTTTGTCTGAAATCTCTTAAATGCTCCTTATGTACTCCGAAATGGAGGGTTCTTGCAACATTGCTGTCACTTGGAAGACATGTTAATGTAGTTTTTGTATATTGCTAGACTGACAACCTTTTGGGTAGGGTTACCATATTTTAGGGTCCCCAAAAGAGGTCGCTGCTGGAGGGGGAGGGAGCTGAAGAGGGGGGGACAGTTGGGAGTGCTGGAGGGGGTATTTGGGGGGTACTGAGGCTGTGTACCGGGGTATCTGGGGGCGCTAGAAGGGATACCTAGGGTGTGTGTACTAGTAGGGTATTTGGGGGGTGCTCGCAGGGATACTCACAGGAGGTGAGAGGCAGTGTCGCTCCCTGTCAGGGTGGCTGGTGCGAGCCCAGGATGCAGTGACAGCCATCAGTCAGCGCCTCCTTGTAGGACCCCTTGCCCCAGGGCTGAGGGCCTGGGGTGGGTGGGATCCAGCAGCTGTGGCTGCAGGGAAATGGACCAATTGGGGCTCTTTCTGAGCTGCAATGACTGCTCTGCAAAAATCCCGGACATTGCCTGTTATTTGAAAAATCTGCCTAGACGTATGATAACCTTACTTCTGGGGATAACAAACACTTCCGTTTTCTTACCCTGTATCTTGTCTATTTAGATAGTCAGAGTCTCTGCCCTAAAGTGCTTACACTGTGTTTGACAGCACCTAGCGCAGTGGGGCTTTATAATCGTAATGATGAGTGTACCGAGTTTAAAGACTGCAGCTCATAAGGCACTTCAATGGTTGAAAAGCCATTAGTCTTTTTAGATTGTTCACTCTTCAGGGAAGGACTGTCTTCCCACTTACATACCTAGCACACTTTGGGACCAATTCTAATACAAATGATGAGTACAAGGGAAAAGGGGAAGGGGGATGACCTTTCAGTGACCTCTAATGAAAAGGTCAAACATCAAATTTGGGATTGTTCCTGGCCCTTGTGTTCAGCAGCCCATAATGAGTAAGTACCAAATGTCAAACTCTGTGAATACACAGAAATTAGTGTTTCATTCTGTCACTTGTCCTGTTGCAAGCGTATGTATCATATTAGATGTTGGAGGTTTGACTAGTTGTATTCTCTCTGAATGTCGTTAGGGGAGAAGCGAGTTGTTTTTCCCTGCTGCAGTAAGTAAAGGAGGGCTTTGTGGGTCTGATTGTAAAGTTCTCCACTTTCTGTTGCTCGAATTTCCAGGGCCCTGAATGAAAGTAAGCGAGGGATCAGTGAGGATGACCAGCCGAAGGAGAACACAGAGGAAAATGTTAAGGTACCCTCAGCAGAAGAAAAGGAAAGCAGTGAGGAAATGGTGGACTTTTCCCACAAGAATGAAACTGCAGTCCTTGGTGTGGCTGCCGATAAATCTCTCCAAGAGAACACAGAGGCCAAAAACGAATAAGCATTTGGTGTGATTTTAATTAACCTACTTGAACAGTGATGAAAGGGGTGGGGGGTGGGCTGAAGGAAGAAACAAAGCTGCTTTTAGGACTGAATGATCTATTTTCAAAGCACTGGTACCTGTGTGAGTGTGTGTATATTAAAGTTATTTAAATGATGGAATAAGTGGCTCCATTACATCACTGCATCTTTTCTTCTGGATTTTGACAATGGGAAGTTACATTCATCTTGGACTAACGAAGCAACTTCCCGGGTTCCTACATTACACAATGTGCTTTGCAATGGAGACTTGGATTGTTTGAGAACGGAAGCGTCGTGAGCGTGGAAGAAGGGGGGACAACTTTTTGACGCACAAATTTCAGTGCGTTTTTCTAGTTTTAATACATTACACTTTTCCAGACTGAATGCAACTGCTTTAGAAAAGAAAAGAAAGGATAAAAAAAAAACTGCTTTGCATAAAACAGTCACCTGTTTCTTAGTACCTCAAAATTAACCAAGGGAAATCTCTGCATTTGTCAGTACTACCTGTTGTCGTTGTGGTTAAATGTAGAGACTGCTGGCTGAGATGGTGAATGGAGGAAGAAAAAAAAGAAGTTTTAAAGAAAGGAAAACAAATTGTGCTTAAAATCCCAGTGTGGGTTTTATTTCTTAAAATACTGTGATTTTTTAATTATTTTAGTAAAAAAAAAATACAAAAAAAAAAGAGAGAGAGACTTTAATTCCTAGATAACTGTTTGTGAATTGTCATCCTTTATTCCAGGTAAGCTGTTTGTTAGTATTCAACTATAATTTTAGGGTTTGATAGATTCATGTGACTGATTGTGCGGTTTTGTTTGCCACATGTTTGTTTTCTATCTGCCTGAGGTGTTACAAATACAGCACAATTAAGTTTCTCATGTAAAATGATTTCTTTTTCAATGGGGGGGAAAGGGGGAAAGGAGACTTGTTCTTGCGAACAAATTTTTTTTTAAACATATGGAAATAACAAAGAAGTTTAACTTTTTTTAAAAATTTAAACTAAAGAACCAAACTTACGGCACAGCTATGCAGCTTGCGGACCAGCCACTTAGGTCCTCATAACCGTTCTGTTGCTTGTCAAATTAACATTGATCAGTCTCACGCCAGTAACTTTTCGTTAAGATTGGCTGCCTTTTTGTATGTGGTGTGTGGTTTTTTGTTTTTGTGCGGTGGGGAGGTGGGAGGGGATCTCTGATAACACAGGTTTTTGCAAGGGGAGGTGAAATAGTTACATACTACATGGAGCTTGAATCTAACTCGAGTCAAGACGGGAGTTGCTATTTTTCCCTCCTCCTTAGCATGAGGGGAGCAGCATAGAATAAATAGGAATCTACACCCATGGGGAAGGATCCTGCACTCTTTTTTTTATTTTTTTTCCCCTTTGGTGAAACACCCACTGAAGTCTATGGGAGTTTAGCCTGAGTAAGGAGTGCAGAATCCATGCCCATGGTATGTTCTGACCGTGAACAAAAAAAGAGTTTCTTTCCAAAAAGTAGAAAGTACTTGACTGAAACCTAGTTTTAGAAATGCATGTGTCTCTTTGTTTGTTTTTTTGTTTTTGGGGGGATGTATTGGGAGGGAGGGAAAAAGACAGGAAGCTGGTTAGAAGACGGCATCCCACGGAGCGTCACATAAAATTGATGGCAAAAATGTTGCATTTGTGGAATAAGTGCTCCTTGAAAAGCATGGTGTTTTTGCTTTTAAGGATTCATCTTTGGGGGGGTTTCTTTGGAGGTGGGAGGGAGCATCGTGTGGAAAACACAGCAGAGGGACAAGTATAAATACATATTTTGTGTCTGTATTTGTTTTTTTAATTGGCCTCATTTCAAATGTATTTAAACAGTTCCATACCTGGATTGGGTGTTTGTAATGGTTACCAAAAACGAAAAAGAAAAAAAAAATGAAATAAATGATTGTGACATGCTTTTATCACTACTTTATTTTTCAAATAACATGTAAATATTGTAATCCATTGGATTTTGTTTTGCTAACCTGTTAATAAAAATATGGGACCATTATCCTTTTAACAAGCCTAGAATGTCATATATTTCTTTTTTCTCTCCTCCCCCTCTTCCCCCCAATGTATACCTGATATATTGTGGACACCACATTTTAGATGCATTATTATGAATTCTGTTAACTGTAATGATGACATAGAATTGAAAATAACACTTTTTTTCATTGTTTAATTTATACAGAGGACTTTTTCAGAGTTTGACAGAAGGAAATAAATAGCAAAATGCTAACCCATTGCCTCCAGCACTCAGTATTTCCTGATTTTAAATTACTGCTTACTGATGGGGGAGGCGGAGGATTGTTGCACTGATGGGTTTGGGTGTTTTCTTTTTTTTTTAAAGGCAATGAAAATGAATAAAGACTTTTTAAAAGTGTGTGTGTGTGTGTGTATAGTTCTATCATAAGTACTTTTAATGGCCCCCATTACTGTAGTATTTGTCCCTTTCATCATTCTGGGGGGGGGAGGGATAGCTCAGTGGTTTGGCATTGGCCTGCTAAACCCGGCATTGTGAGTTCAATCCTTGAGGGGGCCATTTAGGGATCTGGGGCAAAAATCTGTTGGGGATTGGTCCAGCTTTGAGCAGGGGGTTGGACTAGATGACCTTCTGAGGTCCCTTCCAACCCTGATATTCTATGATCTGAGGATCTCTCTGATGCTTAATTGATTTTTCACTTTACCTTGGGCAAATATGATTTCAGCCAACTGTGGCTGGCGTTTTTACTCTTGTATTGCTTCTGAGAATCTAGAAAGGACTTTGTGTTCGTGACTGACGACCGATCTGGAATCTTTTCCTCGGCAACCACAGATATGTCAATGCATTGGAAATACGTGGAAAGCGTTCATTTTGTCAGGCTGATCCTGCTCCTCCTATAAGGCCAGAAGTTCCTTTGATTCATTGGGAGCAGAATTGGGCTGATTGCCTGGGTGCTAAATAGCACCAAAACTCTGATAATCAAATCACATTATATGTACCCTTCTCTTTAGGCATTTATACCACCAAGATCAAAATAATTTGGGGGCTGAAATACATATTCCCTTGAACTACAGAAAACAAAACAATATGTCTAAAGGTTTCGGTCACTGTCTTTCTAGATGCTTTTTGGAAACCTCTCATCATTTTATTTATATATATTATTGATTTACAACATTCTGTAAACTCTTATCTATTCCATCCCAGAGCTAACCTGAATTTGTAAAAGTAATTGTTTAATACTAACAGCAGTTACATTGCTAATGTAGTAAGAGACTGTGGGGGACAAATTCTAGTCTTGTATTACACTGGTATAAAGCTCCCAGTAAGTTACAATAGTGAACTCCATTGACTTCAGTGGCATGACCCCCGATTCATACTGCTGGAAATGAGAGAAAAGTCTGACCCCTTGAGCTTCTGCTCTGAGTTCCGTATTTGCACTGGGGAGCAGAGTGTGTCTCCGAGTTCAACTGGTTCAAGTGCCTGCATTGAATTAAAGCGCAGTTTAGGAAACTGTAAGTACAGACAGAACATTCAAAGTCCATCTTTCTTCACTTGGGGGAAATTCACTGGTTTTCTGGAGAGCAGTTAGACCTCTGAGAACTCATATGTTTTGTGCTGGTCTTCTGTTCACTCATGCTGTGTTCTCCAGGACTGGTTCCCTTTCTGCCTTCTCAGGAGATCTATGTAAGCATTTGTGCCTTTATGTCAACTTATTGCCAATTGACTGCTTTGATTTTGTTCTTTTTGTGCTTACAATTACAATCTGCATCCCCTCCATGCACTGCTCTCACTGGTCTTGCACCATTGTAAATCCTAGTGAGTTACATGTACACCAGTGTGAAGGGAGATGGTCATCTGGCCCAATACATTGAAGCTCCCTCACTCACGGTCTCTCTTCATGCAGCCTTATCTAAGGAAAGCCAGAGCCACAGGAGCACGTCATTCAGCCTGGGCATGGAAAATGGACCGTCTGGATCCCACAACTGGTAGGAATACTACGTGGTCATTTGGGGAAATTTAAATACAAACTGAACTCTGTTGGCCCAGCCACAGAAATACTTTTACTGAACACTTGTGGGCTGATGCCATTTCACTTTCTGGTGAGAAAGAGGAAGAGCTATTCTCTCTGCCAGTTGTGTGCATCAGGCTAACTGAAAGTGGCTGAGGGAGGGCGTGTCAGAATAATGAACTTCAAGAGGTTCAGCTAAGGCCTGCTGTGTCAAGGGAAAGTCCCTGGCCTAACGAGAGACAAAACATTAATAAAATCCTGATTCTCTGCAAACTCATTAGTTTTTATGTCACGTTATCGCTGGCCATGCCCATTGTAACAAGCATCATTACAAGCTGGGTGTTTGTTAGCTTGCATGGTGCTCTGGACAACAGGCTACAATGCTCTAGGGCAGATACTCAGACCTATGCTCGTGAGCTGCAAGTGGCTCTTTAATGTGTCTCCTGCGGCTCTTCGCAGCACATGATATTAAAACACCGAGTGATTTAATTATTAACCAATCTAAGCTATTAATCATCAGGATGCTTTTACTTTGTTATTAACCAATTGTAGTTGATAAAGTAATAATACTTGGTCAGTCATTTTGCTGGGAGAATTTTATTTCCCCGTCATATTGTTTAAATGTGAATGTATAGTACTGTAGTAAATGAAACAATGAATTCACATGACTGGCTCCTTTGGGGAATGTTAATCGCTAATTTGGCTGCTGAACTGAGGTCTGAGTATCACTGCTCTTAAGCTTGATCTTTTGATGCCTTTTCACTTTTCTCTTCCCAAACTACACTCACTCAAGCAGGCGGATCTTCTGAAAAGTGGAAGTGGATTTAGCAGAATAATCCAAGGTAGCTGTCCATGGAGGAAAGGAAGGAAGTACACTTCTTTGAATCAACCTGGGTTTTGGATTTAGGTGGTGGTTCAGGGCACATCTCACTCTTGATTAGTTTGCGCTTCTGAGACGGAGATATGGGACTGTTACTTTCCTTGTGGAAACTAAGCATAAGAGACTGAAATACAAAAATCAGAATCTGGAACAGCTCGAGCAGAGTGTGAATTACTGTGAGGCCATGCCAGCTAATTCATAGATTTATAAGGGACTATTAGATATCTAGCCTGACATCCTGTATATAACAGACTATCACCCAGTT